ACTTAGAAAGAACTCTCCAAAAATTTACCTGGAATAAAAAAAGACCCTGAATAGCCACAGAAATCCTGAGAAAGAAGAACAAAGTATGTGGGATCTCAATACCAAATTCCAAGCTGTATTACAAAGTCACTGTTCTCAAAACAGCCTGATACTGGCATAAGAACAAACATATAGACCAATTGATTATAATAGGAAACCCAGAAATTGACTCAAAACGCTATGCTCAATGAATATTTGACAAAGGAGGCATGAACATACAATGGAATCAAGACACCCTCTTCAATAAATGGTGTTGGTAAAATTGGACAGATACACGAAAAAATGAAACTAGACCACCAACTTACACCATACACAAAAATAAACTTAAAATGGATAAAGGACATAAACATAAGATGGGAAACAATAAAAATACTAGAGAAATCCACAGGCAGAGAAATCTCAGACATATGCCAAAGCAATTTCATCACGGATACTGCTCATAGGCCAATGGAATATAAAGAGTAAATAAACAAATGGGACCACATCAAAATAAACAAGCTTTTGCACAGCAAAAGAAACCATCAACAAAATTAACAAGAAAGCCAACTGTATGGGAGAACATATTTGCAAAGTGACCACTGATAAAGGTTAAATCTCCAACATCTACGGGCAGCTTCTACGACTTAATAAAAGGAAGATAAATGATCCAATAAAAAAACAATGGGCAATGGACCTAAATAGAATATGTTCTAAAGAAGACAGAAGGAATGCCAAGAGACATATGAAAACATGCTCACAGTCACTAATTATCCAAACAGTGTTTCACAAAGTGTGGTACGCGTACCCGCAGGGGTAAGAGAACAGTTTGGTGGGGGTACGCGTTGCACCGGAGTTTGGTGGGGATATGCACGGTACCGTGCTTAGCTGCGCCTACTTCTACGTTCTCATGAGTAGGAGGGGTACTCAGCATTACGAAAATTATAGAAGGGATACACATATGTCAAAAGTTTGGGAAACACTGATCCAAAAGATGAAATCAAAACTACAATGCGGCACCATTTCACACCTGTCAGAATGGCTATCATCAACAAATCAACAAACGACAAGTGTTGGCGAAGATGCGGAGAAAAAGGAAACCTCGTGCATTGCTGGAGGGAATGCAGACTGGTGTAGCCACTGTGAAGAACAATATGGAGTTTCCTCAAAAAACTAAAATTGAAACTCTCATTTGACCCAGTAATCCCATTTATAGGAATATATCCCAAGAAAGTAGAAACACCAATCAGAAAGGATATATGCACCACTATGTTCATAGCAGCACAATTCACCATAGCTAAGATTTGGAAACAGCCGAAATGCCCATCAGCAGATGACTGGATCAGAAAACTATGGTACATCTACACTGTGGAATACTACATTGCTATAAAAAAGAAGGAATTATTACCTTTTGCAGCATCATGGATGGATCTGGAGACCATTATTTTAAGTGAAATAAGCCAGGTAATGAAAGAAAAATACCACACGATCTCACTCATTTATGGAAAATAAAGAACATTATAACCTGATGAACAAAAAGATAGATAGATACAGTGATAGTAAAGTACTGAACAGTCTATCAAATTACAGCTGGAAAGCTGGGGAGTGTGAGAAGGTGGGGAATAGATCAAACCAAAGTACTTGTATGCATGCATATAAGCACAACCAATGGGCACAAGACATAGGGGGATGGGATGAGAACATGCGACAGGGGGTAAGGGAGGCTAGTGTAAGTTCAATAGGGGAAAAAGGAGATATATATATATGTAATATTTTAAACAATAAAAAAAACAAGCAACAACAACAGAAAGTTTCACATTATAATAATATTACTAGTACTAAAGAATGTACGGGGTGATGTTTACAATTTTTTTTTGCAGTTCTCTTTTTAGAATATATCTCATTAAGAATGAGTCAGAGGACTGTGTTAATATGTTAGTTGGGATCGTTATCAATTTGATAAACATTTAAATTTGTTAGCTTTTTGTGTTTAATTTTAGGATTTGTAATGCATTCCTTTTGATTAAATTTTACTTTTTGGTTATATGAAACATTAACATGGCTCAAAAGTCAAAACCAGCCCAGTGACCTGTGGACTGAATGTTCCAGAGTTCGATTACAATCAAGGGCACATGAAGGAAGGAGCCAATCAATGATTCTCATCACTGATGTTTTTTTGGGAACATATATTTCATTTCTCTTCAGTATATACCTAGGAGCAGAGTTGCTGGTTCATGTGGTAAATATGTTAGCATTCTACATCATTAAGTTTATTTATTTATTTATGTTATTGTGCTTCCTTTGACAAGGGTAAGGAAATATGTGTTTATATTCTTATTTCCCTCTTTTTTTCTTACAAGAAAGGTAGATTATATATCCTGTTTTACACCTTGGGTTTTTCTTATTGTTGCTGTTTGTTTTATATTCTGGAAATTTGTAACACATCCTGAAAGTCACTATAAAAACATCCTGGATATTACTCCATAAACAAAGTCAATAGTTTTTTTCCCCATTCTTTTTTATGACCACACTGTTTGAATTATTTATTTAACTAGTCCTCTATTATTAAACATTTGTGTTCTGTCCAATATTTTTTTAATTAAAAATTATGCTGCAATGATGAACCTTGTGCATATGTTGTTTTGTGGAAATGTCTTCAAAGTAAATGCCTAGAATTGGGATTGCTGTGTGAAAGGATAACAACATGCAGATTTGTTAGATATTGCCATATTCCCCTCCTCTAGGTCTGTATGTATTAACACCAGCAATATATTAGAGCTTTGGTTGCCAACCTTCCAGACCTCAAGGACCACCAGTGGTCCACGGACCACCGGTTAGTGACCACTATATTATGGTACCTGCTGCCCGAAGTCTCATCAATCCAGAATACAGTAACACCTTAGGATTTAACAAAAGATGGTATCTCCATTTAGGTTTAATTTGCATTTTTTCTTATTATGAGTAAAGATCAGTTTCTTTTTCAAATTTTCAGGGTATTTGTCTTTCTCCTTCTTTGTCCTGTATGTTTGTTGTCTCTTGCTCATTTTGTTTTAAGGATTTTAAGAACCAAGATTCTTGCAGTAAGGCAGGTGGCCAACCTTTGGGTGGATGGAGAAAGGTGTTACTCACCCACTGCTAATAGGAGACTCCTCAACCAAGTCCTTGACTGTTGCAATATATTGATATTCTTCAAACAATCAGTTGGAGGAACATTTCGAGATTAGCTAGTCTAGTCCCCTCATGTTATAGATGAACAAACTCAGGCCCAGAGAGCAGGTAGAACTTTCTTAAGGTCACAAGGCAAATTAGTGATAGAGCTCAAAGTTTGTTTCCCCCAGGGCAACTTCAAATTAACATTGAAATGGCTTATGTGCTGATTTTTGTACTTTCACTGAGATTATCACAAATAACACTTTTCAAAAGAAAGTATCTCTTAATATTCTTTGTTAGCCCAAATTGGAAACATTGGCAACAATTATAAAATCCATCCTCTTCTCAAGTCTATTTATCTGCATTAGTGTTTGTAATACTCATTTAAAAATGTAGAATGTCAGAACTGAATCAGATCTCAGAGATATTTTATTATATCACAGGTAACCCGAAATCTAATGATGCAGAGTGATCAGGATTTATCACAAAGGGAGGTCAGGAGGGCCACTTAGCCTGGAGCCTCACCTTCACTTAGGACCTAAATTATCAGTACTTGAGATCCTTTCCAAATAAGGTTAAAGTATATCATCACTGCATTTTTGTGAATGTGTGGGTAGCTTTATTTTATTAAATATACTTAAAATGCACAAAATTTTCTAAGATTATTGTCTTTATTTCTTTACTTTTTAAAATACCAAGAGTGGCCTAGAAAGTGATCTGCCCATGATAATCAAGTAAACTAACAGCAGTACTGAAACTCTTGGAGATACTGCTTTCTGCTGCACCATACTGCTTCCAAAGAGGCAGCAACTGGCTGTTTATGAGTCAAGTAAATTTGTCTTTATTCACATCATTGAACCTTCTAGTCAGGAAGCATGCCCCTTACACACATCCATCTTAGAGCCCTTACTATCCCTATACTCCAGAATGCTGCTGTCTGTACTGGCCTTCCACACCCAAGCAAGAAATTGACTATAATCCTATATTATGAGTAAAGTGTCCAGTAGTCTGGTTGTCCCTTCAACCAATCAAAGTATAATATGCTAATCATATGCTTAACCTGCTCAATCGCTCGCTATGATGAGCACTGACCACCTGGAGGCAGATGCTCTGACTGATAGGTTAGCTTGTTGTTGGTGTCCAACCAATTGAGACTGAACGAGATGGGGAGGACACATACTGGAGCCCTCTCTTGGTTCCTCCCTAGCTGGTCAACCCTCCCTGGCACAGACTGTGCACTGATGGGGTCCATGGCCTGCACTCTCTTGCAATCTGGGACTCCTCAAGGGATGTCAGAGAGGTGGTTTTGGCCAAATCCCGCAGGCCTGGGGGAGTGACCTCACTGATGCATGAATTTGTGCACTGGGCCTCTAATCTTAACAATAATCCCCATTTCTTGAAAGCTTCCGGGGCATCATGTACTTTACCATGTTCATTCAAATCCACAAAACAATCCTACTGCATGGTAAGCAATATTATTGACATTTCAGAGATGACCAAACAGAGGCTAAGAAAGGGTTGCTTAACATTTTCCAGCTAAATAAATGGTAGAGATGATCACAATCCAGGTTTATCTGAGAGCAAGGCTTGTGTACAGCTCACTATACCTGGCAAGATTGTCTCAGTTGTGACAACCCTTCAAATAAGATGCATGACACTGGGCGGATATAGACTAGGAACCAGGCAAAATCATCTTCCTTACAGAGCACTCAGCGTGTCCAGGATCAAGCAATTGAGGACTTGGAATTAGAGCTGGCAGGCATTTTCTTTTTAGTGCTATCATGTGGGCCAGTCCTCTAGTATGAACTCTTCATGAAACACCAGAATTTACTTACTTGACCAAGTGCCTTATAAGAAGTTCCAGCATCTCCCGGTTTTTTTCTGGCAGTTTATATACTAAGGAGTGAATAGCTCCCAGCCGATAATCCAGGTTGTCAGACTCTGAGAGAGAACAGAGACAGAGAAAGGTTTGCCTTCTAGGCAATTGTATCAAGTAAACTTTCATACATATACACATGTGTACGTGCAAAGATAAACAATAAGAGACAGCGAGAGTGTCAGAGAGATGAAAAGAGACAGAAAGATAAATAGGCACAGAAACACAATGGCAAAAATATACTAAGAGACAAAGACAATGTGACAGATAATGAAAGGCAAAAAGGCAAAAAAAGAGAAATAAAAAACAAGATAGGCCTAGAATGATGAAGAAATTAGAACAGAGTGGAGAAATATGAGAAGAAAAGACAAGATTTTTAGAAGCAGTCAGAATTTGGGGTACAAAAGGTTGCTCTTAAAATTCCACATGTAAAATTTCAGATGGAAACCTTTGCCCACCCACCATCCTTGTAGTTCCTAAGAAAATTACTGAGAGGGCTCAAAATAAAGATCAATAGGTATCTTGCCTCAACAAACATTATAAGGACAAGCCTCATGATTCTTTTTTCTGCACACCACACAGTACATGATGCAGGAGAAGGGTCATGTTGAAGTAGGCAGAAATACTCATACATGGGTCTCAGCCAAAAATTTTAATGCTTCTTCAGCAGCCAATTTTTGGGGTGATTCTACATGCCTTATTACCCATGCACCTCTCCACCCTCACTTGCAGTTTTAACATCTAGAAAACGTACTACTAGAACTAACAGATTTGGAATAAAGACTCACAACACAAAAGGCATTTGAAAAGGAAAATGCTGGAAACGACTTAAAACAGCAAGTATAATGGAACCATTATGCTGTCCCCTGGTAGTGTGAGCCAATGTCCTTGTTCTGATGGAAGAGGCACAATTGATCAATAACCTATCACATCCCTCAAGTTAGCCAGTTTTCTCCAAACTATTCAACTATTATTGACTTATGAAAAATAATACAACACTTAAATTAGACAGCAAGTGAGAATACTTTCATTTGGCAGTGCATAAAAATCTATGTATTTTTCTCCTCCTTCGCCTGCTCAATTACTTTCCCTCAGGCAGTTTTCTAGGCCTATTGCTGTAAATATTAAGAAATCAGGATAACACAATTAATTGGTAACAGAAATACTTACTGGCAGCAGAGACCAGCTCTTTATGTAGTCTATAGGTCATGACAGGTTCAGAAAGATTCCTGAAATTAATGAAGACTGTAAGTTCCTTTGGGAAAATACTCAGTTCTGTGCATAGCAAAGCTGAAGTTTTTGAGCCCCACAGTTTAGTGACTACCCACATTATTCTCCTCACCTGAAACTTTGTCAGAGGAATCCTATTTGCTAGTAATTCAATAGAAGACCTGTAAAACTATCGACTATGACTTTGAGCGAGATCGTTAATTCATTCCCCAAAATGAAAAGAGGCACAAGCCAATCCTGCAAAATTCCAAGTGAACCCACTCTGAGTGCTACTATGAAGTCTTTACAGTTTGATAGTTGCTTAGTGGTTTTCACATCTGTCTTCCCATTTGATCCTTCCAATGATCCTGTGTGGTGTAGCAGTTATTCAAATAAGAATTAAATAAAGGAGGCTCAAATATGTTTATTTAGTAAAAGCAAAAATATTCACTTAGCATCTATTTGTGTCTGGCATTATGCTAAGTATTGGGGATCCAGAGATAATTATGACATACTTCAAACTTCCAAGGAGCTAGTAGTCTAATTGAGGAGAGTGTCATATACAAGATTTCCAATGCAACAGGACAAGTGTGACAATAAAATAAAGATAAGTGGTGGGTGGTTCAGAAGAAGAAAGTAATCCACTAAAAAATAAATAATAATAATAATAATAATAATAATAATAGCAAATTCTTCACTGTTCTAAGTCAACCTTATCAAGTATATATTATTAATATCTCCATTGTATAGACAAGAAAATGAAGTTCAGAGAAGTTAAATAATTCATCCAAGACCACACACCTAGTAAGTGCAAAACTAGGCAGTCTGCCCCATCCATGCTCTTAATCACTGTGCTATACTGTTTGCCACTGTTATTACTATAGTAATCCAGGAGAGAGTTAATAAAGGTCTAAATAAAAATAGTGGAATTAGCAACAAAAATACCAGTAAAAGGTGAGGAGAGTTATTGAAAGATAGTAAAGACAGAAATCCAACAATTGGGTTTGTTGATAAGGGAGAGAGTAATCCGGTTTAGGTGATTGGGCAGAATAGAAATTGATTCAGAGGGTAGAGGAAATGCTATGTCAGAGGGGTCACTGAGATAGCCAAAGAGGTATGTCTTTTAGAAAAATGTATAGAGTGAGCTTTTGGATCTGCAAAATAGATATAAAAATCATGAACCTAGGACAGTGGTTAAAACCATGAGAACAGATACAACTGCTCAGGTAGAGACAGCTATCTGGCAGCCAACACCTACATGAGGCTTTTCAACATTTATTTGTCTAGAATAGTGTATAAAAAAGAAATGGAGTTGAATTAGATATCAGAATATAAAAAAATGAAATATTTCACATAAAAGTGCATGTTCTATTAAAAACTTTGAGGGGGTCAGTGGGAAAAGGGGGGACATCCATAATACTTTCAACAATAAAAATAAATAAATAAAAATTTGCTAAAAAATTTGAAAGATATGGCTACATTGGGCCCATATGATTATTTGTGGCAGTAAAGAATAGTGCTGTTTATATATAAACAAAGGGATTACGATACAAATAATGATTCCATGTGCAATATGTTTAATATGAAAGTAGTCTATTTCACACTAATTTTCAGGTCCTGTCTCCTGTGGATATCTAAATTTTCCATACCTCCAGTGTAGGAGAAAGAGAAGAGAGTCCTAGAAAATAGCAGATAGAAAGCTCATAAATGAATGAGATTGCTAAAAATGATCAAATAGGTGGGAGAAAATCTAAAACCAAGCAATTTAGCAGGATCTAAAAAAGAGAAAGTTAAAAAAAAAAAAAAGGCTTGTTAACAGCTTCAAATGATACAAAGAGTTAAAAGAAAGACTAACAGCCAAAACTGGTTTGGCTCAGTGGATAGAGCATGGGCCTGCAGACTGAAAAGTCCCAGGTTCGATTCCAGTCAAGGGCATGTACCTTGGTTGCAGGCACATCCCCAGTAGGGGGTGTGCAAGAGGCAGCTGATCAATGTTTCTCTCTCATCAATGTTTCTAACTCTCTATCCCTCTTCCTTTCTGTAAAAAATCAATAAAATACATTATAAAAAAAAAAAAAAGAAAGAAAGACTAACAATTGTCCATTGTGTTTAGGATCAAAAGAGTCACTAGTGACCTTGACAAGAGCAGCATCAATAGAGTGGAGAGGATGGGTGTCAGATTACAATGGGTGAAGCAGTAAACTGGGAGATTAAGTAGAGACAGGGAGGATATATTACTTCATATACTGAAGTTTAGTTTGGAAGAGGTAATCTCATCTAAGCTCCTGCTTCCAATTATCTTCTACATTGTCAAAGATTCTAAAAAATATATATATATCCATTTTATTGATTTTTAAAAAATTTTTTTACAGAGAGGAAGGGAGAGGGATAGAGAATTAGAAACATTGATGAGAGAGAAACATCAATCAGCTGCCTCCTGCACACCCCCTACTGGAAATGTGCCCACAACCAAGGTACATGCCCTTGACCAGGAATCAAACTTGGGACCTTTCATTCTGCAGACCAACACTCTATCCACTTAGCAAAACTGGATATGGCAAAGATTCTGATTTTTTTTTATCTGAAACCTAGAACTAATTTTTTTATATTTCCCATATATCCAATTGCCTGTTAAAGATCTTGTCCTCATTTTTTCAAAGACATCCAAATTTGACATTTCCAAAACCTAACATCTCAAATCTAGGATTTTTCTTGTGTTTCCAAAATCAGTAAAGGCATGACCATCATTTGGTTATATGGGCCCAAAACATGGAAGTCACTGTTTTATCTCCCTATCCTCTATCCTAATATCAAATTTTTCTCTCTAAATCTATTTTATAACCTTTTTTTAAAAAAATTACAACTTACATTCAATATTATTTTGTATTAGTTTCAGGTGTACAGTATAGTGGTTAGACAATCATATAGCTAAATCTCTTCAGTTAGCTTATTTCTATTAATACTCCACTGCCATCCCCAGGCCAAGGAGAAGCACAATATTTTTCCTGGATCACAGAAATACCCTGCTAATTGGTTTCTACCTCTACCTACTTTGCTTTAGTCTAATGTGATCTCTCTATATTTTTTCAAAATACAAATCTCATCATGCAATCTCCTAATTAAACTCTTTTAATACAGGGGCTGGCCAAGGTAGGTTTACAGTTGTTTATATGGAAAATACTTAATAAATAATATAAGCATAAACTATGTTAGACATACTGACAACTGTAAATCTACTTTTGCCCACCACTGTATATTCCCATAATTTTAATATAAACTTAATTATCTTCTACATTGTCAAAGATTATTTTTAAAAAAGTTATCCATTTTATTGATTTAATTTTTTTTTTTAATTTTAGAGAGATCACATTAGACTAAAGCAAATTAGGCCCCAATTCTTACAATGTCCTATAAAGCTGTGCATGACCTGGCCCCTACATATCTCTCCCCACTCTCTATACTCAATACCCCACCTATACAGGTACATGAAGTTTCTTGAAGGGGTCTTCCTCCCCTGTATTTCAGGCCTTTGCATGTTTAGTTCTCTCTATCTAGAACAGCCTCCCACAGTTGATTCCAAATTACAATTCAAACCTCAGTTCAAACAAACAACCAGAATAAATCAGGTCTTCCTGTTATTTGCCTTCCCAGTACCTTGTATCTTTCCTTCAGAGCACTTATTATAGTTTGTTATATTTGTACTAGAGGCCCAATGCATGAATTTGTGTATGGGTGGGGTCCCTCAGCCTGGCTAGCCCATTGGGGAGGACCGGGGGTAGGGACCACAGGAAGTTGGCCAGCTGGCCCTGCCCTCCGATCAGGGCCCATTAGGGCCAAACTGGGTTTGGGGATGAGCTGAAGAAGGTTGGCTGGTCAACCCTGCCCATATCAGGGCCCATCCAGACTGGCCAGCCAGGGGGAAGGACCACAGGAGGTTGGCCAGCCATGGAGGCCGGCTGTGGGAGTGCAGTGACCCCTGGTGGTCAGTGCGCATCATAGCGACTGGTCAACAGGTTGTTCAAGTCATTCAGTCATAATGGTTGCTTAAACTTTTATATAGATAGATGATAGATAGATGATGATAGATAGATAGATAGATAGATAGATAGATAGATAGATAGATAGATTTTTAGATAACTATTTGTCTTTGTCTGCCTCCCTCACTGTTCTATAAGATATGCCTACAGCCTAACACTATGTTAGACTTAGAATAAGACATGTTTATTGAATAATTCAGTGAATGGTGGGTTGAATGAATGAAAGGTCAAAGAGATATGCACTACTAGAGCATATTTATATTCTGAGCGGAAAGAGCCAGTTGAATGAGAAAAGTTAAAGATACAGGAAGGAGAAAGGATCATTTTTAGAGTATATATATATATATTTTTTGGAAATGTTAGAGATAAGGGGTGAGTTAGGTACCTAGAACACAGATGCAGGAGACCCACTGTGAAAATACTGATATCCTTGAGGGATCTTAAGAATGTTAATTAGCTAGTGCATATTAAAGGCCCATAAATAAGAGTCTTAAGGATTAATATCTCTTATTAGGGGTGCTATCCACTCACACTTGATTTTCTCATCTTTCAAAAGGGCCACACTGTTTATTGAGGGATGGGCTGGAAAAGATGTAATGTGGGAAGGAACTTAAGCTATATAAAACTTTTAAAACATTAATTCCTTTTAAGGAAGCTACAGGCAATTATTTATTTTTATTATTCTTTCATCACAAGTCTTCTGAAAGTAAGCAGATTGCTGTCTTTAAAAAATTACTGAAGCAACTCCAAGAAAGCCACATTTCTTGGCAGAAAGGAATAAAGAAAGAAGATGCTCCAATACCAGTGGCCTTACAAGTCAGAGATATTTAGGTTCAAATAATATGAGTTGTGACCATTGATATTATTAATAGGGAAAGGGGTGTACTTCAATTACCACATCTTTAAAATGAGTATTAGTGCTACCTACCTTATATAGAGTTATTGTGAGGGGGAAAATCAAACAAACAATGAGATTGTCAGTATAAACAAGTAGAAAACTGGCTAGCAAAGGATAAACCCTCCACAAAAGTATCTCTTTTACTTGGCAGATGCAAAAGAAATACTCCTGGAAAGAGTATTCATGTTCATATAAAGTTATAGGATGATGCTACAGTAGAAGGTCATTTAACAGCAATATCTGAGATCCAATATATTTTGGATTAGTGATATTTTCCAGAGCTTACGTATCTATCTTAATGACTAAAAGGTATACCAGTAATAACTGAAAAGAAGACATTTTAGCACATAAAGTATGATACATACTATGAGACATAAAAAATGGTAAGAATTTAATATGTTTAAAAATATAGATATGTGACAAATATTTTACATAATACAGATTTATGCCAATAAATTGAATAAATTGAATCATCATTGTGAGGCTAAAAAATTTGCTGGGGAATAAACTTTTTCCCCTACTGCTGCTACTTCATTTAATTCCAACATTTTTGTGGTTGTATTTTATTTCCCCCCCATTATATTGATTAAAGCATTAGGTATAAAACCCATACACAAGCATACAGATTATATTTGTGCAAATGTAATTTAATATATCAAAATAGTTATTATCTACCAAAACATGTTAAGAACCTTAAATGGTCACAAATCCCGATTATACTAGTGAGCACATAGTGAGATCACTATCGGTGCAAAATAGCAAAACTTAAATTTTAATGGCATAATTTAGAAAATAAAATGTTCCCCTTAAAAAGAAGCTCACACCTCATAAACAAAGATAACACAGAGGGAAAGGGGAGTGGAGACAGTTAGGAAAGGGTAAACAGGGGATAAATGGTGACAGAAGGAGACATGACTTTAGTTATTAAGCACACAATATAATATACAGAGGATGTACTAGTATTATAGAATTATACACCTGAAACCCAAATAATTTTACTCACCATTGTTGTCACAATAAATTCAATAAAAAGTAATTAAAATAAAATAATTTTCTCCTTAAAAACTCAGTTTTCAATAACAATTCTATTATTTTGATGCTTCCCTTGCTTAAATTCCCAGATTTAATTTTTTCCCCCTAATGTACATTCTCCTTTAACAGAAATCCTTTTCCCTTGCTTTTTCTTTAGCAATCTGATTCAATATCCTGAAACGTGGACCACATTAACTCCAATTTCCATCCAGACACTTCCATGTATCTATCTATCTATCTATCATCTATCTATCTATCTATCTATCTATCTATCTATCTATCTATCTATCTATAAAAGCTTAAGCAACCACCGATCAGCCATCCAGCCAGTAAATATGATGTACACTGACCACCAGGAGGAAGACGCTCAATGCTGGAGCTGCCAAGCTGTGGTGACTTGGCAGCTGCGGATCTTGGGTAATGCCCCTGGAACCAGAGAGGAGGGAGCCCCATTTTGGGGGCTGTCACCCGAGAATAGCCCTCTCGCAATCTGGGACCCCTCAGGGGATGTTGGAGAGCCAGTTTCCGCCCAATCCTCACAGGCCAGGCAAGGGATCTCACCATCAGGCCTCTAGTCAACTATAAAAAGCAAAGTCCCAAATCATATCAGACATACCTGAGGTAGAATTTCAAGGAGCTGGTGATTGTCTTAATGTCCCAGTCACTATTATGAAAATCAACATCTCCTGGGCATTTAGGATCTAATTGAGAAAAAAAAATGAGAAAAAAAGTTAACTTTCCAAAAGTCTTATGTTTTACCCCTTTAAAAGGAAAATAAAGTGCCTTAATTAAAAGACAGTTACTCTAACTAGTTTTCAAGAGATGAAAATTTATAACAAAAATATATTTGATATCTCAAAAAATTCCCTTGAATTTATTTCAGTCAGTCAGGCATGTAAGGAGTTTGGAAATCATCTCTTCCATTCACATGATAAGAAAACATGTAATAAACAGGGGGGAAAAAACTCCTCTTAGATCAATTAGAGGACTGAGGTCATACTTAGGGCAATTATTGTCCCCAGAACTGAAGAGATACACAGGCAGATACAGAAAATTAAAATTTACTAGCATCAAAGCACAGGAGTAAAATAAACCCTTGTGAATATGTATAGTGTCAGAAAAACCCAATCTGCAACTGTGAAATTGCTAAAGGCTTGGTATGGATGACGTTGAGAGTGAAAAATTCCATAGGGATCCAGTCCTAGGTGGGGACTCCACACTTTTGTGAGTTTTATTTCCAGGAGTCCTATCAGTTTCTCACAATGAAGATCTGAGAAAAATCCCTCATATTTCCGTGCTTTGGAGAGTAGAGAAAAAGTGGCCTTTTAAAATTTATGCAAAGAGCATTTCATTTTTCTTCACAAGAACCCCTCAAGAGAAATTATTTTATCAGATTCTCATGTACTGGGGTTTTACCAGGGCTTAACTGACCTAGGAAAAGGGAAATTCCCAACTACAGACAAGCTTGTCTCCTATCTTTGCTAAGTGGTAAAACCAAAATAAAACTGAAGGGCACTTGTGATGGTCACAGGTCAAGAGCACAGGATCACTAAAGACTAAGATATAATTACAGGAATGTAGAATGCTACCCTTTATCTGACACCTTGCCACCACATCAACAGGCCTTCTGGATAATAACATGAAAATATGACTAAAATAACTATGCTTCTCAGATAATATTTAAGAAGACTCTAGGGAAAACCAAAATCAAGAGGGGAAATAAAAACAAGGATACCAGTTATAAGTTTGGCCTCTGATTTATAAATACAGCAAGCAATTAACACAGGCTAAACTCTAACAAGATAAACAAACATCACACTAAAGTTTTGTTTATCGCATTTCTGTTTATCAGTTTCCTTTACTGATTACATCATGTCTGGCTTGAAACAAAAAAATTGCAAAATACTAAAAAACAGATACTTTTCAAGAGATACTAAAAAACAAATAATAAAACACAATTTGAAGAAACATAGCCAACCAAACAACAAGAATCAGATATGGCAGAGATGTTGGCATTATCAGACTGGAAGTTTTTATGATTAATAAGCTAAGGTCTATAAATGATAATATGGGCAACATAAAAGAGGAGATGGATAATGTAAGCAGAGAAATAGCAGCTATAAGAGAAAATCAAAAGGAAATTCTAAAATAAAAAACACATTAACAGAAATGAACAATTCTTTTGCTATGCTGATCCATCGATGTGGGGAAGTATGGGACTTGGTTGGAAAATCTGTAAGAAGGATTCTCTGAAAAGTCAAAGCCCTCTGTGGGACCTTGCTGAATGTGGTAGTCCTTGCCTTGCCTTTTCCAAACAAGTCTAAGCCTCCAGGTGATTTACTAGAATCTTTATGTTTAGACTTCAAAATGTCCTTGTTTGAAAGATACTACAAATTCAGGTGTTTTCTCAAGAATGCTTACCCTGCTGATTGTATCGAGATATTAATTTTAGTTCAAGCAGTTATTAAAATAAAAGCCTAAGGAGGCAGGTGAACAGGGCTGTTTGCTCCTAAAGCCAAATAGCCCCTAGCTTTCTCTTTCACAGAAACACATCAGAGTAATCTATTCATCTGTTGCTCAGGGTCTCCTGGTCAGCCCCAGCAAAGTGGTGCACTGTGTGAAGAGCCAGGAATGTAATGCAATGCCACGGAACCCTTGAAAACAAAAAGTAAGAAAATGAAAGTGACTGCACAGTAAGTAATTGGAACCCACTTGCGATTTCCAAGTTCAAGGGAGTTGTTTCTCAGCTAAGAAATTTACTATCTCTTTTATGCTTCTTAAAAATGTGAGTGTAGCCAAAACCGGTTTGGCTCAGTGGATAGAGCATCAGCCTGCGGACCAAAAGGTCCCAGGTTCGATTCTGGTCAAGGACATGTACCTTGGTTGCAGGCACATCCCCAGTAGGGGGTATGCAAGAGGCAGCTGATCGATGATTCTCTCTCATCGATGTTTCTAACTCTCTATCCCTCTCTCTTCCTCTCTGTAAAAAATCAACAAAAAATATATTTTAAAAAAATGTGAGTATATCTTCCATTAGAAAAATAAGCCTATTTCTGAAAGTAAGAAAAAAAGGTTTTTCCTGTATATGCCTAGGAAGCAAAGGTTATAAATTTATTATTAAAATAATTACGTTATTTTAATCAGAAAGTTGATTACTTTAAATGAATAGATTACTTAATATTGTTTAATAATACTACTTAATAAAAAAGTAATATGCAAATTAATCATCACTCCACTCAAACCACACCCACCAGCCAATCAGAGAGAGTATGCAAATTAACCCTAATCTAGATAGCTGCAGCCACAGAGAACAGTTGAGAGGCTTGGGTTTCCCCGGCAACAGAAGCCAAGCTTTCCACATACTCTGGCCAGCCTAGGCCTCCACTCAATGATATAACGTTTCATTATAGAAGATAAATCTCAAGAAAAATAGCAGCAGCCAGGCGCTGGAGAGAACAGGCTAGGGTTGCCCCCGGCAATGGAGGAAGCCAAGTTTTTCAAACACCTTGGCCAGCCTAAGCCTCCACGCAAGGCTACAAAGTTTCAATTATAGACATTACATAATGTAAGCAGAGAAATAGCAGCTATAAGAGATAAAAATGGCTAACAGCCACAGAGGGAGCAGGGGGCTTGACTCCACTCCAGGCTACAAAGTTTTAATTGTAGAAGATAAATAAACCCCAGATACTAGGGTCTCTACTTGGGACGCCAGAGGGCGTGGCCAGTCTGCAAACCACCACAGGCCCCTTGCTCAGGCCACCCCATGCCTAAGGGAACCCCCACCTTGATCCGGGACACCTTTCAGGACAAACCAGCTGGCCCCCACCCATGCACCAGGCCTCTATCCTATCTAATAAAAGAGTAATATGCATATTGACCATCACTCCAACACACAAAATGGCTTCCCCCATGTGGTAAAAGATCTTGCCCCTATATGGGCACAAGATGGCCATCACAAGATGACCAGCTGGAGAGAATAGTTGCCCGACAAGAGAGGGCAGTTGAGAGGGCCAGGTCTTCAAGGAAGGGCATTTGGAGGTGATCAAGCCTGCAGGGGAGGGCAGTTAGGGGTGGCCAGGCTGGCAGAGGAGGGCAGTTAGGGGCAAACAGCCTAGCAGGGGAGCAGTTAGGCATCAATCAGGCTGGCAGCGGAATGGTTAGGGGGTGATCAGGCTGGCAGGCAGAAACAGTTAGGGGCAATCAGGAAGGCAGGCAGGCGAGCAGCTGGGAGCCAGCAGTCCTGGATTGTGAGAGGGATGTCCAACTACCTGCTTAGACCAGATCCACTGGGTCTAACATCCCTCGAGGGGTCCCAGATTGGAGAGGGTGCAGGCTGGACTGAGGTACACACCCCCAACCCATGCACAAATTTTCAGCACCAGGCCTCTAGTAGTAGTAGTAGTAATAATAATAATAATAATAATAATAGTAGTAGTAACAACATATCTCTCTATATAAAAGCCTATTATGTAAAGTGTCCCTTCGAGAGTTTGGGAGATCAGGAGTATGATTGCTCACTATGATGTATGTTGACCATCACAGGGTGGCATGGAATGAAGGAAGGCCCCAGCCAGCAGCTGGAAGGCCCCAATTAGCCCTGATAGCCCACCAGGCCTAGGGACCCTACCTGTGCATGAATTTAGTGCAATGGGCCTCTAGTAATAATCCTATCTAATAAAAGAGTAATATGCAAATTAATATGCTACACCCACAAACAACCACCAATCAGAGGCGAATATGCAAATAAACCCAACCAAGATAGCTACAGCCACAGAGAGCAGGAGGGAGGCTTGGGTTTCCCTAGCAATGGAGGAAGCCAAGCTTTCAACCTGTCCTTGCTGGCCTAAGCCTCCACTCAAGGCTACAAAGTTCCAATGATGGAAGACACCTAAACCCAAACAGAAATGGCAACAGCGACAGAGCTGGAAAGAGCAGGAGGTAGGGTTGCCCCTGTCAATGGAGGATGTCAAGCTTTCCACACCTCTGGCCAGCCCAGGCCTCAGCTTAAGGCTACAAAGTTTCACTTATAGAAAATACTTAAGTCCCAACAGAAATGGCTGCCGCCACAGAGCAAGTAGAAGGCTTGGCTCTGCTCCAGGCTACAAAGTTTCAATTGTAGAAGATAAATAAACCCCAGATACCAGGGCCTTTGCTTGGGTTGCCAGGGGGCATGGCTGGCCTGCAAACCACCACAGGCCCCTCGCCCAGGCCACCCCATAGCCCAAGGGAACCCCCACCCTGATCAAGAACACCCTTCAGGGGAAACCAGCTGCCCCCCACCCATGCATCAGGCCTCTATCCTATCTAACAAAAGAGTAATATGCAGATTGAGCATCACTCCAACATACAAGATGGCTTCCCCCATGTGCTCAAAGATCCTCCCCCATGTGGACACAAGATGACCACCACAAGATGGCGAGCAGTGGAGGGCAGTTGGGAGGGATCAGGCTTGCAAAGGAGGGCAATTGGGAGCAATCAAGCCTGCAGGGGAGGGCAGGTAGGGGTGACCAAGCCAGCAGAGGATGGCAGTTGGGGGCGACCGAGCCTGAAGGGAAGGGCAATAGTGAGGAACCCAGGTCTGCAGGGGAGGGCAGTTAGGGGTGATCAGGCCTGCAGGAGAGGGCACTTAGGGACAAACAGGCTGGCAGAGGAGCAGTTAGACATCAATCAGGTTGGCATGGGAGTGGTTAGGGGGTGATCA